TGGGGAATTCTGGGAGTTGAAGTCCGGACATCTTCAAGTTGCCAAAGTTGAGAAACACTGCACCAAAGCCTTGGAAGGCGCTTGGGGGAGGGGTTGAAAAGGCCTCTTGGCTGACAGGGGCAGCAGTGATGGCAGGTGGGGGGGGGAGAGAGAGGTCTCTTTGGTGGGGGGGAGGCCAGAGAACAGCTGGGGAGGGACTGGGCACAAGGGGCTGCAGAGGGAGGCCAGAATGGAAGGGTGTGGAGGCCGATTGAGAGAATGGGGGCAGGGGGTGTTAGCAGCAGCCATGTGAGCTCAGCCCCAGCCGATGGGCCCTTGGCAATGTTTGTGGGGCTACTGAGGAGAAAGAACTAGAGGGGGAAACATTTTGGGGGTAACAAGCAGGGGAAGACCTGGGAGAGCCCTGGGGAGCCGGGGAATGGAGATGAGAAATTAGGGGCTGGCTTTGATCCCTGGGTTCAAAAATGATGGATGGATGGGCGGACGGTGCTGGCACGTATTAGGAAATCCTGGCTGGGCAAGGATGGAGGGACTGCCCCATTTTAACATTAGCCCTGACCCCAAGTGAAGATCCTCCTGGAATTTGTGACCAGAGGCCCCGTCAATGAGGGGTGGCAGGCCGGGTGTGTCTGTGGCTAAGATGGGTGGGGGATTCTCTCCTGTGCCATCCACTCCCTGGCAGAATCCTTCGCCATGCCCCTGCCACCTGATTCCTGGGCAGACTTGGGGACTTTTCCCCAGAGGTTGGTGCCGGGTGACCTCCATCCCATGCTCTAGGGGGGGGGGTGTTCAAGGAGTCCTTGGCCCCAGTGGAGGTGGGGCTTCTCCGGATAGTTCCAGCCTGACCCACACAGGTGGTCACACATTCTACCTATCTTTGTCCCACGGCCACCCAAAGGAGCGTGGCACGACAAAACCGCGCTCGACTAAACCGCGCCGCTGACGTCATCAACAGGGCGACAACAGCCAGCGCGGAGAAAGAAGNCTCCCTCCCTCTGGCCGGGGTAGGGTGGGCGGAGGGGGGCAGCCGCCGGGACGGGCAGGGGAGGAGCTCCTCTCCCCGCGGCCGCTCTGCCGCCCGCTCCCCCTGGGCCGGAGGGAGGCTGCGGGGCGGCCGGGCTCTGGAAGGAGCTGCGGGGGCACCTGCGGGTCAGGAGCAGCGGCCACAGTTGGCGGTGGCATTCGGGGGGCGGTCCTGCGGCTTCCTTTCCTCGCCCGGGGAACCCCTCCCACCCCCGCTGTCACCGGGTCCGCTCTCGGCCACCGGCTGCTTCCCGCGGGCTGCCTGGGGCTGGCGGCGGGGTCCCTGGTGAGCCCGGAAGGATCCCTTGGCCGGCAGCGCCCGTTGGCCCTGCGGGTCAAGAGCAGCGTCCACGGTTGGAGGTGGCATTGGAGGGCTCCTGCCCAGGGCAGCCTCGGGCTTCCCCTGGCTTTGCCACTTTGGTCCAGCTCTGGAGGCCTCCCTTGTTATGGCTGGGGAACGGGCAGAGCTGTGGCCTCTGCCAGCCCCGGTGCCCGGGGATGCCCGGCAGGCTCCCTGGCTGTGAGGCCTGGCTGCTCTCCTGCTCCTCCGGGGCAGCCCGTATTGGGGGGGGGGGATGCCTTCAGCCTCCCCCAGCCTTGATTGGGGCCACCAAGAGTGACAAAGAGCAGCCATGCTCCCCTTTAGCCCAGGAGCCCTAAAGTGGGTCTCCCCCCCCCCCACCATGTGTGGCCTTAAAAAGAGCCCCTGTGCTTCCCCCCCCCCCCCAAGAAGTGGGCTGGATTCTGCCATGCTTGTTTTCCTGCTTGTGCTCTGGCCGGGACAGATGGCCTCCTCCGTGTCAGCTTACACTTACTGTTGATGTAACCCTGTTCCCCTCCGGCCCTTTGCCAGCTGCCCGGTCCTCTGTCCACGTGCAGAGTTAACAGGAGGGATCTGCCACTCGGGACAGCTGCCGAAACCTCTCGGCAGACTCTTGCAACCAGCAGCGGGCAAACTGCCTCCTGTGGCAAAAAGCCCCTCGCTTCAAACAGGCACCCTGGACAGGACTTGCTGTGTCCCGGGATGGGGGGGGTCTGCTGAAGCCCCTGTTTTGGAGGGTTACCCTGCGTAGCACAGCTGGCTCCAGTGGCCAGACCCTTTCCAGCTGCGAGAGGCACAGGACGGCCATGGAGATGGCAGAGTCTGTGCTGCCAGGAGTGGGGGTGGGGCTTTCCATTAGGTTGAGCTGAATGAAGGGCAGGCTGGGGGCCCGCATCCACTCCACTGCTGGGGGGGGGGGCAGTAGTCCCAGGACAGCAGGGGTGGGTTTCTCGTCCCGTTCCAACCGGTTCAGTTGGAACGGGGCCGGCGGCGTCCTCATGCACGCGCGCAGTGCACGCATGCGTATTAGCGCCTGTGCGATGCTCCAGCTGCTCCTGGAGGATCGCGCAGGCGCTGTATGCATTCTGCGCATGCGTGGAAGCGCAGGACTCGTCAAAACCGGGTAAGAAACGCGGGCGGGCGGATCCTTCAGCGTTCCCGGAAGTTACTTACTTCTGGGTTCGCCGACCAACCGGTTCGCAGCGACCTCCACGAACCGCCTGAAACCCACCCCTGAAGGACAGGCTGTGGCTCTGCC